CATGTTTACCTTCACACAAGTAATGTGACAATGAGTGAAGTGATTTACCATTGTCAGATGAGACTGGTATATCCTTTAAAGGGAACTGTGTGTTTGTGGTTTCTGGTGAATACGTTATTTTTGGCTCACATAGTATTCGCACATAGTCACTTCTGGGCACTGGAATATTTTTTGATTATTTTATAGTATTTCAGATGTATAAATATAGCCGCTGGTTTTAATAGATCACATTAATGTTGATTTATATTTTTTTAAGCATTTTTTACTATTGAAGCCTCATGATTGTCACCTCAGTTGCGCCCAGACCACATGTTGCTGTTTCTTCCTGTCAGACGTCAGACTGACATATGTATGTCACTCCACCCACAGCAGACCATTAGATTCTCCCACGAGGAAGTCAACAGACATCACTCTCATTTCTGACTCACTCAGTATAATCACTTAAAGCTTTTTTTAATTTTATTTTTTTTATCTCATAAAAAATCATCTGAAAATAACAAAAAAGCAGAGGATGCAAACATGGACTGGATATACATTTATTTAGTTATTTTAGACATTTATGTGAACCGCAACACATACAAACAAAAAGAAAAAAATCATCAGAAAATTAACAGGAATAAGGTATATTCTGTTCAGAGCTGGAGCTGCAGTCTATCTTGTAGCAGCATACACAACATGAGGCTCCTGCTCTCTCTGCGTCACAGGCCTGCAGCTTCTTTTGGTCTTTTTCTGGAAATTCAGAGCTGCGTAGTTCAGATTGTCTGAAGTCATGTTCTGAAAATCAGGATATTTAGTTAAACACTGCACGAAACAACCAAGGTGGATTTGTGGGTTATGTGAGTTTCAGAGTGAGATTTTTAGAGGTAAATATAAATATAAATGAGAAATCACATATACAGTACAAATCATTTTCTTTCTTTTTTTTTCGTTTTGATTGAAAAAGTAAAAAAAAGGTCCTTTTGGAAAAATAAACGTGTTTAAAAAGCTCCCCAGACAGCAAATATGTCATAAGGACCAACTCTTCACAGTGAACGCTTCAGCTAGCATTTTACCCACATTACATTTTAGAGTTATAGTAATTTGAGTTTTGCAAACTATAGATTTTGCCTGTTTAAAAAAAACAAAAACCTTTTTATTTAGTCTAGATGAACTGTTACTAAATAATTTAAAGTTATGAAGTTTTTCTACCTTTCTGATATTATTTAAAGTCAAAGAAAATAAAAGATTACAATTGCTTGCTTGAGTTTACTCTATGATGCAACAGGTCGAGGCTACTCACAGAGTAATTATGCATTTCAATGAAGCTTTTGAATCACAGAAAACTGTTGTCAGTTGAAAAAAAAAGAAGAAAAACTCAAAAAGTGAGTTTACCTTGTTATTTTCTTCTTGCTCTCCAGCAACTAAATAGAAATACCAAAAATGCTTGTTATTAACAACCAAATACATTGTTTTGGACAGGTTAATCAGTTTAGAAGATGAGTGAAGTAATTTGTAAGTAACCTCACCTTTTTGAGATTTCCAGATTTTTAGAACCAGAATAACGACCACTAAAGTGAGCAGACCTGTCAGACCTCCGAGGGCGATGATTATGAGGTTTGTCGTTCCACTGGGCTCTTCTACAAAAATAATTAGATAAAAACATAATTTTTAAACCATCCTGACTGCTTTAGGTGTACTATTAATGATAGTGAAGTAACTACATGGAAACTGAAAAACATCTTTTGAAACAAAAAATCTATCTTACGATCAGTCTTATTAAAATCCTCCTCTTCTCTGGGTTCACTGTCTGTAAAGAATCATCGTTATCATAACATTTTGTGATTGCATGACATGTTTTCATGCTAAACATGATGAAGAAACGAAACAAAAATATCTAAATCATGAACAAAAGCTTACCTTGAATTCTTAACTCAATTGCATTGGAAATGACTGTGTGCCCACTGATGTAAAATCCACAGAAATACAGCCCGGCATCAGATAAAAAATCCACTCGTTTGATTTGAAGGAAGACAAAAGAGACGTTGGAACTCATATTAAAATTTCTGTTTCTAAATCCATGACAGAATGACGCTTCGCTGTCAGATCCATACATAGAAGAAACACAGCTGGGCTTAGTTTTATCGACCACTCTGAACCAGTCTGTCTGCGTTGGATAGGCTGAAATGTTGGAACACTGCAGTGTGACCTCGTCTCTGTGCTGGACCTCCACAGTCTGAAACTCAGAAGCTGAGATCCAGCCTGAAACAGAAAAACAGATACAACATAACACTTATTTATGTAACGGACAGAGAAAATTACATTAGTTTAACATTAAATTAGATTTTTCTTTCAAATGTAGAGAATAATACTTACTGCGGCTGCAGAAAACCACTGCTGTTATTAAAGTGAACCTCCTCATTCTGCGTGTAACCGTCTTACAGCCAGGAAACTTTATGTTCTGTAGGGGGGTTTCATTTCATTAGAAAGGGGTGTGGTATTGAGTACATCATGCCAGAAGATTTGAATCTACACAGCCTATTTTCATCAGTACCGTTTAAAATGTCAGGCAGCAATTCATTCACACTCGTGCAGGTTTATAGAAGAGTTATCGACGCCTTGTGTGCAAGTAACAGCACACCAGAAAGTGAGACAATAAACATGAATCTGGCGCTGTGCTTTATTGGCAAGAGATATTGTTTTGAAGATATGTAAGACTCTTATTTAGGTACTCCCCCCATGCGCTAAGAAACCAACTGATACCACTTATGTCCAACTGCAAATATTTGCTTCTGCTTCTTATTGCAGCTCATGAGCGTCTCATTTGTCTTCATAAAGATTCAGGTTATCCATTCTTTGCTACACAAGTAGATGATAATACTTCCTCTTTCTGTTTACTGCTGATCATTATCAAACTTACCAAAGC